CCAACTGAGCTACAGAGTCCAGTTGTCGAGTTCTAACCAACTGAGCTACAGAGAGACAGTTGTAGAGCTCTAACCAACTGAGCTACAGAGAGACAGTTGTAGAGCTCTAACCAACTGAGCTACAGAGAGACAGTTGTAGAGCTCTAACCAACTGAGCTACAGAGAGACAGTTGTCGAGCTCTAACCAACTGAGCTACAGAGAGACAGTTGTCGAGCTCTAACCAGCTGAGCTACAGAGAGACAGTTGTCGAGCTCTAACCAACTGAGCTACAGAGAGACAGTTGTCGAGCTCTAACCAACTGAGCTACAGAGACCAGTTGTCGAGCTCTAACCAACTGAGCTACAGAGAGACAGTTGTCGAGCTCTAACCAACTGAGCTACAGAGACCAGTTGTCGAGCTCTAACCAACTGAGCTACAGAGACCAGTTGTCGAGCTCTAACCAACTGAGCTACAGAGGCCAGTTGTCGAACTCTAACCAACTGAGCTACAGATGCCAGTTGTCGAACTATAACCAACTGAGCTACAGATGCCAGTTGTCGAATTCTAACCAACTGAGCTACAGAGGCCAGTTGTCGAGCTCTAACCAACTGAGCTACAAAGGCCAGTTGTCGAGCTCTAACCAACTGAGGTACAGAGGCCAGTTGTCGAGCTCTAACCAACTGAGCTACAGAGGCCAGTTGTCGAGCTCTAACCAACTGAGCTACAGAGGCCAGTTGTCGAGCTCTAACCAACTGAGGTACAGAGACCAGTTGTCGAGCTCTAACCAACTGAGCTACAGAGGCCAGTTGTCGAGCTCTAACCAACTGAGCTACACATGCCAGTTGTCGAACTCTAACCAACTGAGCTACAGAGGCCAGTTGTCGAGCTCTAACCAACTGAGCTACAGAGGCCAGTTGTCGAGCTCTAACCAACTGAGCTACAGAGGCCAGTTGTCGAGCTCTAACCAACTGAGGTACAGAGGCCAGTTGTCGAGCTCTAACCAACTGAGCTACAGAGGCCAGTTGTCAAGCTCTAACCACAAGTTCATGTATATACAGTATATACTAGGGTACTGCCATGTTAGAACACTTCAACTATTATTCAAACGAGTGAGATGCCAACAAAATCTTATTTCTAGGTTAACCAGTAAAAGTTTAACCAGAGTGCTTTTAGAGTGTACCAGGACTACAACAATTAATTGGCAAAATTTCATTGTATAAATACAGTTTTGTTAATTATGCACAAATGCTTCATAGAAATAACAAGTAATCAAGCTTTAATTAAAAAAATACCTGATAAATGAAGGTTGTGACATATCTTCGATATTATCGCACTAAAATCAACTTCTGCAGCAACTGATACCTGTTACATGAACAAACAAAATTAGGGAGTATCTATTCAGTTCAGTAAGAACGCAAATGTATATTGGCAGGGAGAGACCTACCATGCAGACCAGAGGTACGCCAGTATTACAGTCTGATACTCCTTTGTTTTCCGAGCCGAGTATCATGTGCATTCAAAACCGTAGTTAAGTATGCATATGTATGGCACGAAAGATTGAACTGATGGAATTTGGATTAGGGAATGTTGGATTCATAATCTCATTTGCAAGTGTTTGTAACTATATGCAATTGTGCTCCTTCTTGTTCTAACTATGGTAGTTTCAGGCTGCTGAATATTTCACTTCTCTCAAACATGCCTTACAACGGCCATTATGGGCGGCCTTTTCCGTTGATGTTTCGAATGTATTTCAGAAGCGATTTGTCATGAAAATGGGAAAAAGATTTAGCAGGGTGAAATAATATTACAAACTGCATGCTTCTTTGTTTTTAACCAAGTACGCAGGACCTACGCTATCTGCTTACTTATGACCTTTCCAGTATAATAAAGTATATCTATCTGTGTAAATCCGACATATCCGACATGACAATGCAGGAAACATGATTGGAGTGTTGGGATGAGATTGGACTACGGAATGCTAGCTGTAGGCAATTGCATGTGTTTGTATATCCTGTTATATGCTTCTTGTTCTATCTCATAGTTACAGACTGAATGAATGCCATTCAGAAAACTATGCTTTATGTACTTTACCTTAAAGTGCCAATATCATGGTTTTGGAGTTTGCATATCTCGAAAGTTTAGGGTATTTTAAGACACTTTGCAACATATTTTGTTATTGAAAAATTTCATCTTGATGGATTTATTAGCTCTTAAAGTTACCGGACATGACGTCAAAAGGAGAATTTTGTTGCAATGATACAAAGGAAAACTGATTTGCAATTCTCCTTTTGACGTCATGTCCGGTGACTTTAAGTGCTATTAAATCCATCAAGATGAAATTTTTCAATAACAAAATATATTGCAAAGTGTCTTAAAATACCCTAAACTTTCGAGATATGCAAACTCCAAACCATGATATAGGCACTTTAAAGACTAAGTATACACACTTTAAGTCTTAACTTTGTACCATGCAGCTTAAAGTACGCGGCAATAATCATTGGAGTACCAGTGACGTACGGCTGAAAATCTTGAATGATCGCGCTCTGAATTTAGTATACCTATAACATGGTACTTACCTCTGTGGAAACTTTTTCTGTTAGTTCGCCACTGCTAAGTAGTGCAGCAAAGTTATCGCTGTTTAAAAAAATAATCCAAGACGTAAAATGTAACGGATAAATTAACCGCTATCAACAGATCGATGAATACATTCACCAGCGGATTAATTGGGGAGTATGAAAAAAAACCTGTCTTTGGATGTTTGGGACGTCTTCTCACAAGACTTATCACAACATTGAATAATGCATTCGCTTAATCCATTCTCTAGTTTTTCCACATTTCCAAGACGTTTCGTCTTCATCAATATAGAGAAAATAACACGATGCTGGCAGCTTTTCGCTTTCTTTCAGATGGCATTTTCATTAGGTTTTTTTCATATTTAAATGGCTTTAAAAGGTGTTTGCATTTTTGCAACTTTGTAAAATTACAGAATTATCCGTACACGGTCCAAATCGCCTTGCAAATCGTTACAAGTTCTTAACAGCTTGTTCCAAACTTCGGACAAGTAGTGCGAACACAACTTGTTGACAGCTTGTTGGCTGACTCGCTTCAAGATACGAGTTTTTACGCGTGTACACCAATTTCAATAATCTTAACTAGTACCATCACGTTTTAAATTAAATTTTCGATGCCTACTATAATTAGCGGTGAAAAAGGTGGAACACGGGTACTGCATTATTTGGCAGATCCTGTGTTAATCAATCAACTAAATATTTCAAAGAACAACCTAGAACCAAACTTTCTGGTGAACTGCCTGGATAAAAGCAAGATGATTTCAATTATAGCTAAAAACTCACCTTGAACAAGCAGTTGGTATTATATATGAGGAACAAGGAACAGCGAATTTGAAATCGAGTTTTTCACTCGTCGCACCGTTTTCATTCTGAAATATGAAGGGATGAAGTCGTTAGTATTGGGAAGTCCATACATGCAATTATATGAAACTGGGGCTATCAAATTCGCTCATGCCGTGTTTAGGGTATACGTGCTTTCATCTACATTCTTGCAATATGCTTTTTTTCTGGTTATATAATCTCGCTTTAGTCGCATGTGACAAACGTGAGTCGAATACAAGGTTTTCTCCAGGTACTCCAGATTAAAATGGTTTGATTCAAGTGGAATTTCTGATTGCAAAATTTGCAACTGCAACATATTTACGAGTCGAATACTGGATATATTTGAACTTTTTGCAAACTTGTGCATATATGTATCTGATTCAAGTATCTGAAAAACTTCAAAAAATTATGTCGTTCGGAGCGAAGTTAAGCCATAGTCTATCAAGATATGATGGTCTGGAAACTGAACAGAAGTCATTGTGTAATGTTTTTGTTTCAGCTGATCTTAATTTGTGGCGTTTGAGCTCATTGTATTTTCGTATAATGAAGTAATCGTCCAATATAGAGATAGCCGACATGAAATGTGCAACAACATGAATAATATTTCATGATATTTGCTGTGTTGGTGTAATGTACTCAGGTGAATAAGATGCTTGTGACGTTACTCTGAGTGTATATCCACACCGGGCAGGCTTGAAAAATATACCTGGCCACGGTGGGAATCGAACCTACGAACTTTGGAATAGTAGCCACCGTGGCCAGGTATATTTTTCAAGCCTGCCCGGTGTGGATACACACTCAGAGTAACATCGCAAGCATAATATTTCATGAGTTGAGATAAAGGATTTGTGGACGGTGAGGTACAGCTCAACATCAAACAAAGCTCTTCTATTTTGTGGCTTTGACGCTTGCTGAACAGGTAGGCAATTTGTCTGAGCATGCGCGCAGAAAATCAATATGGCGACATATATTAGGAGTGTTTTGTGGATTTATCTGGTTTTAAAGCTGATAAAACAACATTTTAATGAACGAAAACTTTGTAATACTTAGTGGAAAACATTAAGCTGTGCATTCCAAAGGTTTTAAATTAAAAATAAGTACTTTTGCTTTATTTTATTGCTTTTTATGCTTTGAAAACAGGCAAGCTCATATTTTTTGAAAAAATCTTATCTAATATTTTACCCATTATTTGTTTAATCTGAACAAAAATAGATAGAACACATGGCTATATAAGTTATAAAGGTATTGTTAGTTGATCTGAAAGATTTCAGTATTCCAGATACACATTTTAACAAAAAATAAAATTAAAATATATGCATATCAAAAACAATGGTTTTTATTAGAAGTCAAATTGCCTACCTGTTCGCTTGCTGGTCTTCCAGACCATCATATCTTGACAGACTATGGTCAAGCCTTTGTCTAAATTAAGGCCCTTATTATTAACATGACAAAATTACTGGATGCTGATTGGTTGAGAGGAGCACAATTATTTCATTAATTGTACTGCAGTACAATTAATGATTTTCCCAAAACAAACAAAATGGCGGAAAGGTATTTTAAACACAAACGTGGACTGAAATTGCCCTAGAGGAACTAGATGAAAATACGAACAAAAGCACAAAATTTTGCTTTAACAAAAGAACTAAATGAAAATACGAACAAAAGCACAAAGTTTTGGTTGAAAGTCTGGCAGGACTGGGCTTTGGCGACAGAATATGATGTTGACTTTGAGAAGTATCCAATTTTGTCATGCTAATAATAAACAAGTAATCATGCGATGTTGCTCGTACAATTAGGGATTAATAGTACTCGTGATGTTTGGAAATTTGCCAAATTGGACTCGCCCCGGCGGTTCGTCCAATTTTCGCAAAATTTCCAAACACCACTCGTACTATTAATCCCTAATTGTACTCGCCATCGCATGATTACCTATACTTTATTATTAGCATGACAAAATTACTGGATGCTGATTGGTTGAGAGGAGTACAATTATTTCATTAATTGTACTGCAGTACAATTAATGATTTTCCCAAAACAAACAAAATGGCGGAAAGGTATTTTAAACTCAAGCGTGAAATGAAATTGCCGTGGAGGAACTAGATGAAAATACGAACAAAATCACCAAATTTTGCTTTAACAAAAGAACTAAATGCAAATACAAACAAAAGCACCAAATTTTGGTTGAAAGCCTGGCGGGACTGGGCTTTGGCGAGAGAATATGATGCTGACATTGAGAAGTACGTATCCAATTTTGTCATGTTAATAATAAACAAGTAATCATGCGATGTTGCTCGTACAATTAGGGATTAATGGTACTCGCGATGTTTGGAAATTTGCCAAATTGGACTAGCCCCGGCGGCTCGTCCAATTTTGGCAAAATTTCCAAACATCACTCGTACTATTAATCCCTAATTGTACTCGCCATCGCATGATTACCAATACTAATTTACTTGTTGGCGAGAAGTGAACGATTTGATAAGGGACTATTCGAGGAACGAAGCAGCACAGCTTTACGAATAATACAAAACCTACAGTCCAAGAGAAAAAGTTACACTTATAAGGTAAAACAAAGAATTAGACGTACCTGTATCATATAGGTAAGAGTTGCTCTTAGTTTCTGTGGAACTCCAACTTTTTCAGACGTAAACGCGAACTGGCCTTCGTTTGCAGCATCTGCAGAAATAAATACGTGACACTCATATTTCTTCGCTGCAGTTGAAAGAGCTCATTAAAACAAACTCAAAACGATTTCAGATAAGAAAGGATTTTTTTCTTTTAAGATAAACTTTTTCCTTAGTGTTTTAAGGCATGTTACACGGTGCAATTTTTCTTGCAACTTGCAATGCAATGCAATTCTACTCTTGAGAGATGTTAATTAGTGAAATCTGTGAAGAATTTTCGATATATTGAGAAAACATCAGCGGAGTGTAATGAAGACTCGTATTTGGTAATTTTACATCTCTCAAGAGTAGAATTGCATTGCAAGTTGCAAGAAAAATTGCACCGTGTAACATGGCCTTAACCAGCATGGACACAATATGGCAGACATGCAGTCACGGAGGAAGTACATACAGAGATCTCACTTCAGGTTAATTTCGCGTCAGGGATTTTTTCATTCCGCCATGTTCTTAGCAAGTGCCCTAAAGAGAGGCAGTCACCCCCCTGAAAACATATTGAAAATTTAATATTCTGGGGGGGGGGGGGTGAATGCCTCTCTTTAGAGCACTTGCTAAGAACATGGCCGCCACCTATTTCGGTAAAAAAGCGCCTTACGGTTTTGTAATGGAAGTTACACTTCTGTATGTCTTTATTCTGTGATGCAGTGCTCCATTTAAATTAACATTATTTAGAAAGACTAATTCTTGTAATTTTTAGGGCAGAGAATGCTATACTTGAAAATAGTAACAAGGGCAGCGAAGACGTGCAGAAGTACTTTGTTTTTCAAGCCCAGCACCAAATAAGTAAGGAATTCACTTTACCTGCAGGAAGTTGAAACGGAACTTTCACAGCATCATGCGATGAATGGTCAAGCTAAAATGGTGAGAAGAATATCAGAATTTCCATAAAAAAATGTACTACTGATTAGAAATTAGTCGGTATAGTACTGCAGTGTCAAAGCTACGATTGTCTGTAGTAAAAGTGCTTTTGAATCAATGGCACAGTCTATTAGAAAGTAATTATTGCCGAGTGAAAATTGCTGTCGGGACGAAAATGCAACCCATATGGGTAAGAACGTCTTAAAATTCACGGGCAGGTAAACTTTCTCAAAAGTATACTCATAGTATATTCATTAATCATTATTATCCATACAATTACATCAAAGTTCGAATTCACGTACCGGTCTAACCATTTTGGTGTTTAAAGTGTCCATAACATTCATCTCTAGATTTTTCATGTGCAATTGCGTCAAGTTACTAGAAAAAAGAAAACAAATTTTAACAATGTCTCTGTAGTTTACATCGATACCATCATCACTGGTATATGTAATATGCTTATATTATTATTATTATTATTATTATTATTAACAACTTTATTGGCATGACCTAGCCGTACAAACATTGCTAAAGTATTAAGTAGAAGTGCCATTAAGAGCACTGTCTATCTTATTATAACAAGAACAAATGTTATGACTACTGTGTAGTTCATATTAAAGTTCCTGAAAAGTATATAATATATAGTATAGACAAAAGAATATATATACTATAGTAATTAAGGAGTATCCCCAGGTTTAAGGCATCCGTCTCTAAGGCATAAACATTTTGAAATAAAGCTAGAAAATAGCTCAATTATAAATAAGTCATCGCATGACATCACATGCGTCAATAAGTTTTGTTTTGAATCCGTTGTAATGTTCATCTGAAAAATATTTTTTAATATATTGTTTGCATTGTTCCTAATGCTACTGTAACTTGGGCACTCGAATGCAAAGTGAAATTCGTCTTCAACCGCACCAGTGCCGCAGGTTTTACAATGTCTTTCATTACGAGGTATTTTTTGGTAACGACCGTATTCGATTAATAATTTGTGATTACTAATTCTGAATTTTGTCGGAACACCGTCTTTGGGATGGATTTTTTATGGTAGTTAAATATTGTTCCAATTCATATATTTTTTTAAATTTACAGTAAAATGATAGTTTTGTGGAATTGGTTATTTGTTGTTTCCAATGTGAAATATAGTTGTTTTTATGTTGTCTAATATCAATGCTTAATATCAGCATTTTTGGCTATCTCTCTTGATGTAACTCATTTTTTGAAAGGAATTTTTGTAGATGGAAATTTCGAGTGGAAAATTTCCATCTACAAATCCCTTCAAAAATATGCTTTATACTTTGAAAACATTATATGCTCGTTGATTTCATACAATCAAAAAGGTTTTGAGTGAGAAGTTTGACATTGCGAAGTTTGCCGTTTTCCAGTCATTTTGTATTACGCACGGGAAATTGATACCGCTTTCTGAAAAAAGGTATCAATTTCCCGTTTGTAATACAAAATGACTGAAAAACGGCAAACTTCGCAGGGCTATATTATCCGCATTTTACAACATTTGGCAACGAAACGTCGGAATATTACTAATTTTGTGATGCTCTTTCAAGCTGTGGTGAAATGTGTGTCTAGACTTGTCTAGATCAAAATTTTGTTCATTAGGGACTATGTCCATTAAGGTAGTTTCTTGCCCATGAAAACTGGGAGTGGCAAAAGGTGCGTGGGGTCGGTTGTTCAAAGGTGGGTTAGCACTAACCCTCGGTTAAAATTTAACCCGCTGTTTTGGTTTGTGTATTTCTGCGCGTCTGTTTATTTCAAAACTTCAGAGAAGTTTCATCGATCCAGACAAGATCTCCGAAGAAATATTTCCAAATTCATAGATAAGCTGTCAGGAAGTTTGCTCTGAATTTTAGCTTAACCTGGGTTTAAGCTAACCCAGCTGGGGCCGGTTGTTCAAAGCTGGATTAGCGCTAACCCTCGGTTAAAATTTAATCTGCTGCTTTAGTTTATCAGGGTTCGTAGTCTCCAAGACCAAAAAAATTCAAAGACTTTCAAAGATTTTTTCTGCCTACTGTCAAAGACTTTTCAAAGACCTTTGAGAGCAATCAGGTGTCGAAACATTGCGATCTATAAGCACCATTTTTACCAGGTAATTAGTCCCGTCAAATCACATCCTAAAATGCACTTTTTCGTCGATATTTGCGAAAATCTTGCTTCAATCAATCTATTTTATTAGTTAGGAAATCGTATAATCAAATAATCACTAAAGAATTTAAAGACTTTTAAAGACTTTCTTCGCATTTTCACACAATTCAAAGACTTCTCAAAGACCTTAAAGACCTGCATTCAAATTTAAAGACTTTCAAGGATTTCAAAGACCGCTACGAACCCTGTTTATGTATTTTTGCACGTCTGTTTATTTCAAAACTTCAGAGAAGAAAACTCCCACTGATTCAGACAAGATCTCCAAAGAAATATTTCCAAATTTATAAACAAGTTGTTGGGAAGTTTGCTTTGAATTTTAGGTTAACCTAGGGTTAAGCTAACCCAGCTTTGAACAACCGGCCCCTGGTTAAAAGTTTCCTGGTTAAACCAGAAATAACCCTACTTGGGTTAACTAAATATTTCTGTTTAAACTTCATGGTTATTTTATCTCACGTCCTACCAGTGTAACCAGGAATCTGGTTATATTTGACCAGGACGTCCTTGTTAAAATAACCAGACTATTCTTTGCTTGCACATGACGTCACTGCGTGTCATTAGGCGCCATCTTGGTTGATTTTAAAGTTTTGTCCAGCCGTTTACATCGAAATAGTTGAGTTACTTTAATATTTTTGTTTTGTTTTGAAAACATCTTACTGTATTATGGATAGTTTACGATTTCTGGCACAATACGACAAAGAATGAAGAATATAGATTTTTAGTTGCCACGAAAGTCAACCAAGATGGCGTCGATAGCAAACGTCCAATATAGGGCCCCTAATTTAACTACGATGGCCTGGTCAAATATAACCAGATTCCTGGTTACATTAACCAGACTATGGTAGGACGTGAGATAATCATAAAAATAACCAGGAAATTCAACCAGGAATATTAAGCCAAAATAGGGCTATTTCTAGGTTAACCAGGACATTTCAACCATGGTGTTTTTACAATGTAAAAGGCGTGTGCGTTCGATCCAGTGCCTTGATCTTTCCTTGATTTTATACCAGTCGATATTCATTTGAAATGCTTATACAGCATATGATCATCAGTAATCTACAATGTAGTTAATATACCTACCTGAAAACTACCAATGCAACAATTTGTCCAGTCACTTGTGGATTTGGTTTCATATCATACGTCTAAGAGAAACATATTTTTAAATCAGAAATAATTTTATATTATATACGTTCAGGAGAAACAAGTATCAGATGTCGTTCACAGTTTGTAAGAAGTTATAATTGCAACTATATATACATCTAAACTTACTAGTCTGATATTTTTATCTTCGGCTAGCAACTTGTACTTTGTCGTTTCCTGGAAAAGAGAAATGGTGTTGAAGAATATACCTGTCACGTTTTAGGGGAGTTACTATCTTTAGACTTTTGTAGACTTTTGTAATTTTGTATTCTTTGTGTTTTAAACTTGACCCTAATCCTAAACCTTACTCTAATCCTCACTGGAAAAAAATGTGAAATCCATACGACGAAATTTCAATTGCACCACTAAATCCATTACGTCGACATGGATGGCATATATTCCGTAAGACCTTCAATATACAGGACTAGGGACGCCCAAAGACCCGAGTTATTACCAGAGTATATATAGTGTGATTTTTGTATAGTTACAGTTATATAGTTGCAATAAATAAAAAGTAAATCTTTAAAGACTAAAAGTTAGACTTTTATCAATTTGTAACTACAAAGCCCAATATGTAATTACTATCAGATGGATCGCTGTATATACAAACGCATGAAATGTATGGCCAAAAAACTGTTTGTAAGTAATCTAAAATTAATTAAAATTAAAATTATCATTAAAATTATATCATTATCATTAAAATTATATCATTATCATTGAAATCTCATCTTCTAAAATTCTGAAATAACAGGCATGAGGTCTGCAATCATATGGATTGGCTATATATATTTATTATATGCACAAGGATTGGATATGAGGTATTCAGCAATCTGATTGGTTCTCTACTAGCAGGATATTAACACTTATTCCAAAGGTCTGAGGGGTATATACCCCTCAGACCTTTGGAACAAGGTTTTTGTCTAGTGCACAGTACCAAAACTTCACCAACAAGTCGTCCAGCTTCTCGTCACTGAAAGTAATCCATTCTTCATAGTTTTCTATGTGGCAAGCCTTCAAACACGCCTCAAACTTTCTTTTTGCATTGTTCTCACTTTTTATGGTGTTTTTGTGAAGCAAATCGTGTCTTTTCTGTGCTAATTCTTCGTCAGAAATTATATTTACACTGAGATTGTGTGACGCCATTTTAAACAAATTTGGACAGCACGACATTGCTCTCTTTTAAGCCGGCTATACAGAGCAGCAAGTTCTCTATTATAAGACATTTCATATACATGTGTTATTTGCTCGTTTGCATAAGCACACTTTCCCAAGTTTTTCTATGACAAGTGCACTTGTTAGTCCGTCACTCTGTCTGTAGTACGCGATCCCAAAAAATGACTACAAAACATGCATGCAGTATAAATATTTCGCCAAACACGCATGCGATTTTCATTTACTTCTCGAACCGTGTAATTTCCTATAGTAATCACTGCTCATCCAACTTACGCCTGCTGAATAACTTATCTTCTCTTTCTCGCAACTTCTCTTTCAGGTGGAGAGCGTGCTTCGTGCAAGTGGCGTCGCACTCGATAGAACAGTTGAAGGGTTCTGGCAGATGGAAATTTCGAGTGTAAATTTTATACATTTATTAAACCTAACCAGAACAGCTGCGAAAAATAAAACTATAGGTCGCTGGCAGGAGGAAAAATGGAACTACATGTCCTCTGGCAGGAGGAAAAATGGAACTATAGGCCCTATCTGGCAGGAGGAAAAATGGAACTATAGGCCTTATCTGGCAGGAGGAAAAATGGAACTATAGGCCCTATCTGACAGGAGGGAAAATGGAACTATAGGCCCTATCTGGCAGGAGGAAAAATGGAACTATAGGCCCTATCTGGCAGGAGGAAAAATGGAACTATAGGCCCTATCTGACAGGAGGGAAAATGGAACTATAGGCCCTATCTGGCAGGAGGAAAAATGGAACTATAGGTCCTATCTGGCAGGAGGAAAAATGGAACTATAGGCTCTCTGGTAGGAGGGAAAATGGAACTATAAGCTCTCTGGCAGGAGGAAAAATGGAATTGTAAGCTCTCTGGCAGGAGGAAAATGGAACTATAAGCTCTCTGGCAGGAGGAAAAATGGAATTATAGGCCCTATCTGGCAGGAGGAAAAATGGAAATATATAAAGCTCTCTGGTAGGAGGGAAAATGGAATTATAGGCTCTATCTGGCAGGAAGAAAAATGGAACTATAGGCTCTCTGGCAGGAGGAAAAATGGAACTATAAAGCTCTCTGGCAGGAGGAAAAATGGAATTATAGGCCCTATCTGGCAGGAGAAAAATGGAACTATAGGCTCTCCGGCAGAAGGAAAAAATGGAACTATAAGCACTCTGCCTGGAGGAAAAATGGAACTATAAGCCCTCTGGCTGGAGGAAAAATGCGACCATGATAGGGCCTATATATAGTTGCATTTTTCGCAGCTGCTCCCTTCAACATATCAATCATTATCGTCTCGTCTTTTCTGATGGCCGATGCTAGTAGCTTTACGTATATGCAGTATTATACAACAGTCGATATATATCAGCAGCTACATTTTGTTGGTACCAAGTGCAAACCAGTTAAAGTCAAAATGAGCGCATTGAACTTCAACAAATTCCTTTTGTGTACTGTGAACGTTTTGTTCGCATTTGCTGGGATAATTTTAAACAGCGTCGTAATCATAAGTTTCCTGAAGTCACAATTGCGAAGAAAATTATGTTACTTTATGATTCTGATTTTGGCTTGCTTTGACCTGGCCGTTGCTACAGTTCTTCATCTGGTAGTGG